ATCTTTTTCAAACTTTCTGGTCCGGCTTTCTCAAGCCAACTTAAAGTTTGTCTTGACAAACTTTTTTTATCTAGTTTATTTTACAGTACAATTGTTTTACAATATATGGCTATTACGGTCATAAGAATAATAATATAAAATTGTTATTAGTATTATTATAATTATATTCTGATATGTTTGGCTTCCTAAAACACCAGTGTGAATGTAATTTAAACAGACACAACTACAACTAATAAGAGCATTGAGTTCCCTTTAAAGTTCAGACACAAGTCAATTCATTGAATATTTTCTTAGTTACGTTTTTTTTCTTAGTTAAGAACATGGGTTGGAGCTCTTAATTTTGAACTCTCAAAGTGCATTAGATAGAAGAATTTAACGTTATACGTATGTATGTGTGTGTGTGTGTGTGTGTGTGTGTGTGTATATAATATATATAAACTTACCAAAACCTGAACTGCAGGATACAACAGGGCCCTGTAAAAGGATGAACAAATTAAGTTAATAACATTACTCATTCATATCTAATGATATTCTATTTGGTTTAGTTCCTACAGTTCAAACTAGTAAAGTAGTGGTTCTGGAGCAGGTCCAGTACACATTTTGGATGTCTCATTTTTATTTGACATCCATTTTAGGTTCTGAAGCCTGTACTAAGAAATTAATCCGGTTCTATTTCTATCAACGCTTACAAAATGTACCTGTTGGTACCTACAACACCGCACATCTGGCAAAAACTCCAAGTCACAGGAGTTTATGAACCGATATAACCATAGACTGCATAAAAACATGGACGTAGTGTCCGTGACGTCACCCGTAGGTTCCTGAAGAGCGTTTTTGAAGCTCAAAGTGGGCGGAGGCGGCCGTCACATCTTGGCAGCGCATCACTCCCGGATAATCGAAGATGGGCAAAGAGGCGGGAGCTGGTTGCTGAAACCACGCCCACCTAGCGCGACAGTGGTGACAGCAGCGGCAATCCACCTGTCACTCAAGTGGCCACGCCCTTATTACGCAGAACTTTAAGGCTTAATATAATTTAAACAGATGAGTTGTAAAAAAATTCACCCCACTCACAGTTGTCATGAAGGGCAAAATTAGCTATATAGACCAAAACCGTTTTTTGTACCAGGCTGTAAACATGTTTTTTTCTGCTGTAAAGTTGGGCATTTTAACATGGGGAGTCTATGGGACTGACTCCCTTTTGGAGCCAGCCTCTAGCGGCCAGTCGATGAATTGCAGTTTAAGTCACTTCCGTGTTGGCTTCACGAGAGAGCGGGAGGTTGCCGCTCGGATATAACGCATCTATACCTCGTCGCTTTGGATAAAAGCGCCTACCAAATACAAACCGCACAAACTTCTGCCAAATTCACTGCAATTAACTCACACTTCTCACAAACAATATACATGTCGAAACAAAAAATAACAGCGACTAATGTTCCCAATACTATTGAAGCATAAAACAACATCTGTCCGTTTGAACAGTGACTTTCAAACCATAAGAGAAAGAGTGTGCTCGGCCTTTAACGTTACCTGATCTTCCTCCCAGTCATCCATGATGAGCAGCTTCAGCTGAGGATCACGACCGTCAGTTAAATCTCTTCAAGAGCTGTGCCACAAAACAACACAACGCCGACAGTGAAAATCATGTCCCACATCAGAATAATTCACTTATCTGTTAACTTTGTGGATTTAACTGTTAAATTAAATTTTAATCGGTCATTATAGTTTCTGCACTAGGTTAAACCGCTTTCAACGACAACCTCATTTAAAACGCCGTGATATCTAAATTAACAAAGGCAGCAGATAGCGTCGTTTCTGTTATTATAGTAATAAAGTTCTATTTAAATGCGAATAATTAACCCAAGGGAAGTATTAACACCCAAAACGGCTAACGTTAATTAGGCCGCGGCAGTAACTAAATGGCCGCCTAAATATTTGACACTAACGAGTAAACTTTCTCTTTAATCGAGTCTTTCATTCGCATTACTAAAGACCGACTAATTAAATCATATTAGTACAGCTTATAAAGATAAAAAAGCATACGTTAAGCAGAAGTTGATGGCGGGAGACACCTGAAGAAACCGCTAGCGAGAAATCCCGGGCAGAAATGACGCAATTATTCTGCGTGTGGGCGGGAAAATCGGTGTGATGTCCGATTCGCGCTTTTGAACTGATTCTTTTTAATGAATCAGACAAACGATTCACAAATCTATTGGAATGAATCGACAGGGCGAATTACTGAAGTCATGACTCTTTCGGTCATGTCTAAATCAAAACGAGTGAATGAGTGAACCGATCCCATAAGCACACGTGGTGTTTAATGAGGATTAACTAGGGTAGAAAAAATGTATAAGAAATTAAGGAAATGCATATTTTTTAAGATAAATGTATTATGTTGTTGTTGTTATTGTCACCTGTCCAGATGTTTGATACATTGGTTTTTTGGGATTGGTTCTCAAGTAACTTAAAAGTCCTTATAGCTGCAGTCCGTAACTTTTTTGTGTTCATAATTTACACAATTTATATAATAAGTGAGTGCGTCATGAATCCATTTTCCAAACTGTGTTTTTGGCTTATCCTGAATCACTACAGTACACCTATAATAAGTTTTTATATTCTGACTATTTTAGACGTTCTGGTAGGAACCGCTGCGGAGTAGCCCATGGGGCCCAGTTGCATAAACTTAGCCTCTATGTTAAGACAGTGTCTTAAAGGTCCCATGACATGCTGCTTTTTGGATGCTTTTATATAGGCCTAAGTGGTCCCTAGTACTGTATCTGAAGTCTCTTTACCGAAATTCAGCCTTGGTGCAGAATTTCAGCCACTACGAGCCAGTCCCACAATGAGCTTTCCTTAGGACGTGCCATTTCTGTGTCTGTAGCTTTAAATGCTAATGAGGAGGAGAGAGGCGGGGCAACTG